CGAATGTCATGGTGCAACCGAGGAGGACGGTGATTTATTTAACACACCACATAGATTTGCTTAAAGGTTGAGGCATAGGTAAGCTAAAGGCAAAAACGTCGACATGAGTGTCAGATATAGGCTTATTGAAGGGCTGGGTAGGGCCTCGAGCCTTAACTACGAAAGTCTTAATTTTGGAGGAACTTTGGGCATGCGGTTTTGGAGTCAAGTTCTACGACACTATAAGTTTATTCATCAAAATCATGTCTACACCTACTAGATTGAAAATGTCTTAAAATGTACCTTACGGGGAGGCAGGGTGTCATCTCTCCACCATCATTTGGCTTTGTGGCCTAAACGAGCTACGATTTAGCACATTCTTGTGTCACAGTGAGGGCATGAATTACGAGATGAGTATCTTAGGCGACTTTTTTTTAACTAGCATGGACATGGGAGGGCCCAATGCCTGATATATCTTAGATGGATGAATGTTCGGGATGTCTCAATGATATGAATGACACATGGGTTCGTTCTCGATGGCTATGACCGAATGAGCTAAGTTGGCCGATTACATCCTAGGACTTGGGATGGCATCAAGGCATGATGGTCGTGTCACCCAACATCCTCAGAAAGCTGATTGTTAAGGTGGCCCCTAAGCAGGAGTCTACCACGAATCACTCATGAAGAAAACTACTACTTAGAGTAGATTCGAGCCATACATAAGTAACGATGTTACACAGGAGAGACCTTGGCATCAAATAACGGCAAGATTGAGTCAGATGACTTCGCCTAGTATAGTGGCAAGTCGGTTGGGTTGCAGAAGATTGAACATGCACGCACATGCGGCTTGTGTGACCGAATAATCTAGGATTTCGCATAAGTCGTGTTTGGTTGGTGAAGACAAACATCGCCTAAGGTCCAACAAAACAACAATGTCGGAAAAAAAAAATGAATGTAGGACTTGGATTACCCTCTAGGTTTGTCATGAGTGTGCCAATATCACGATGCCACATGGTTGAAAATGTACGACCGTTACACAGGACATCTCATCTAGGTGAAGGAAAACATGAATCCCTTGCTTGACAATCTACTAGAAAAACATGAGCTAGAGGAAATTCCGCATAATGGGAGGTCATGGGTCACATTGTATTATTGTAGCATTCTTTAATGGAGAGCATGTGGTATGTAATATTCTTGTTTTTTTTTCATGTCTTTTAAGGTAGCAAATCTTGGCATAACATGCTTACACTATGGTAATACATAGTGGTAACACTCCCTATTTTCAGGGCAGGTTTAGAATTCATGGCCTCAGGTATTCATGTCTTATTCATGTAACATTTTGTCCGGATGAGCTTTAAGTCATTCATAATATGTAAATGATCCTCTTATAATATTTCATATTTTCATGTTCTCAAGTCTTGGAGGCCTTACGGATTGTATTATGCTCTTTCATTCGTAGTTGTCTTTGAAGTGTTTTCTTAGTCTCATAGTTTTTTGGGTTCTTACTCCAAAGGTTATTCTTAGAGTAGAAGTATAACTTTTTAGACTCTAACTCAATCTCATAGATCCTACATATGTGAATTTGTCATATTAGCATGCTAAATTCTTGAGGTACTGAGGCAAATCATGGATGAACAGATTGAGTATGTTTCTTAAAAATCACAATATGTTTCTTGAGGTACTAAGGCAAATCATGGATCCTCATAGTGGTCTTTAAGCTTATATCCAAACATGTTCTATTGTCTTTAAAAGCTCGTATAATTATTCTTAAGGTCATACTTAAGTCTCTTATAGAGGTTCATAACATTTCGAGTTCTTTATGGCCTTGAAAACATGTTAAAGTTCTTATTGGAGGTGTTGAGAGATAGGCATATGGCTTGTTACCTATAGAACATTGATTCTGTCAATGAGGAAGCACCAGTACTAGGCCAAAAAAACACATTAAAGGATTGAAGTCATGATGAACCTCGAGTAGTACCTTAGAGGGTTACACGAGAGTAGAAAATTCTTGTGCAATGCTTGAAAGAGGTGATGTACATAGGCATTGTTATATAATATTAGTACTAAAGGGGTACTATCAAGGGGTACAGTTGTGAGCATCAAGGAGTTTAATATATGGTGTGAGGAAAATTTTCCCGACCTTTTACACTATCAATCGAGTCTAAAATAGTATTGAGCCTAGAATGGTACCTAGCCTAGATTTGTACTCCAACTAGAGTGATGTGTATAGTAGGGAGAGAGTTAAATACCATCGAAATAGCAATCGATGGCACCATAAATGTCTTAATAAAAGTATGATTATGCCCAACAAGAGGTAGGATGTCATGGATGGTGGCATTGCCTAAAAGTAGAAAAGCTAAACCTATTGGATAGACACGACACTAAAAGTTGTTGTCTATGCCTTTGAGTAAGGTAAGAGATTAAACATAACTTTGTTCACAAGTTTGGATCAATAACCATGGTTAGCGTAAGGATATAGAGACAATACTATGCTAGATTTGAATGAACTACTAAAAACACACGATGCTTATCCAATCTAAGAAGATACCTCGCACGAGGTAATAGACGCAGCGACAAGAGATCATTGCCACTAGACTATGTGGCACGGTTAGTGGTATTAGTTTGCTAACTTCCGGTGATGATGTGATGCAAGGGCTAATTTCTTAAGAACAATCTTGCCACGGTAAACCCAAGTTTGACACAAAGCTTTGGTGAAGAGGTAAGAATATGCTACCAACGACACGACACCACAAATACACTCATAAGCGTGTACAACCAGTCAAGATGAGTCAGCAAAGACTATATATGATAAAAATTTATGCGATGATAAGCAGCGATGCACTAGCTAACTCATGACTTTATGAAAGCCATGTAAAACACTAAGACAAATTTATTTACAAAAATGAGGAAGTAAGCCTAACGCAAGCCAAATAAGCAATGTTGTGTGTTACTATAAAGACTCCTAGAATGAAGATTTCCCTGAACTTTGATCCACCTAGAATCTGTAGAAAGGGGTTGTGGGTGGACATGGAGTAAAGAGATTTTACAACATTGTGTGACTTAGGACATGAAGGGTGAACACCTCGGTTTTAAGAGTAACATAGGCGAGAGAATATGAGATGTGTGCATCTACCCCAAACTACTCCATGACCGAAAACTTTTGAGGATGGAAGTTTTAGGAGAGACGAGAGGATATGATATAGAATCAGCCTAATGGAAAGCTCTGATGCCAAATGATAAGGAATCGCTACAAGGGGAGTAAGATTCGGATATTACCTTGTTGATCGAATATCTCAAGGAAAAACACTTGTTTGAGATTTGAATCACTCCATAAGCAAGATCGATTGTCTAGCTTGAATGATTTTGTTTTTTTATCAAATATCTCAAGGAAAGAACACTTGTTTGAGATTCGAATCACTCCACAGGGAAGATTGATCCTGTCGAGCTTGAATGATTCTACATGCAACCTTAACTACGTAGAATTGCAAACAAAACTTAGTTATTGTCTAAGGAAAGCACAAATGCTCCTTTTACTCTATTTTCCAAGTCTACTTAAAAATACAACCTATATGGCTTTATATAGCCTCAAAATGAAACTTTTATCTTATTTAGACATTTCAAGAGTTTGTATGACTCATACTTTAGGACATAATTAGCCAGTATGTAGATGTAACTTTAAAGTAAATAAAAAATCTTAAAATACATTAATGAAATACAATAACTCTAAATTATAAAGCAACCCTAATCCTCAGTCCAACGATCCAAGCTTTTGTTGAAGCAAGAACCCTTGAATCAAAGTAATTAACACCTCCTGATACGAAATTTGGATCAATCAAGAGATAAGACTAGAATTAGATTACCTCTTACGATCGAATATCTAGAAGCAAGATTTGGAACCTTGTTCTAAATTGAGTCACTCCACAATCGAACTTGATCAAGGCTTGATTGAGTGACACATAAATCTCAATACTCTCCATGCCCAAGATATTCTTATATTGTCTCCCACTTTTTATGTTACCCTAGCTTACCTTAGTGGCCTAGATCATAGATTGTAGCGTCATGGTATCCACTTATTCCAACACTTGTTCTTAGCGCACCTTTCCTTATAAGGAATTTGAACAAGGTCGGTCTCAGTCAAGACTCTACCTTCTCTACCACCTCGTCAAGTACCACTTCAGACTTTAGGGTACATAATCTATCATCATGCAATAGAATCTAAGTTATTAGGTATTTTAACCAATTGTAACCTAATTAGATCATAAGACGTAATTAACAAATGCATACAATTCGCATAAGGAGTGAGATCATGCCTACTAACCTTACAACTTACACACCTTGTCAAGGCGAGGTGAGCTAAGTCAAGTTGCAAGGTGCCATGGTCATGCTTGCCCAAGGCGTGTTGCTTACGGTCGTGTGTCAGATGTCCCAGTGATGCTTATCCAGAACTTGTTGTCCACGACAGCAAGTTCGTTCCAAATCCCTTTACTTGCTTTCATGTTAAATAGGCATTCACTATTCTTGTTGTATTAGTCCGGGGGCATGACCTGTCAACAAAATCATGTTTACATTTTCTTAAACACTTTCTTTCAAACATGACCAAGGCTCGATCAAACGTCTGAATTGTCTACAACTTACGATTTTCATACTGCTGACTTGTTCATTGGGTTAGAATAAGTGTCGCAAAATCTTTATCCCGCTCCACAAGAGTTTGATTGTGATAAGTGGTATTAGAGTCAAGTTGACTCATTGAATCGTAGTACATAAACATGTCTGCTGCAAAACAATTGGGAAAGTCCCGGGCTAATCAATTGGTAGAGATCGAAGATTAGTTACTCTACAAAAGTTGTTCCTACAAGCAGTATACTTACTAGGTATATTTATAAATTCACCCCATTTTCCTTTCTTTTTCAGGTGTTTGCAAGTTGTCGGTCAAGGTCGAGGAGCGCTTGAGATCTATGTAGTCTAGGGGTCGTTGTAGAACTTCAATCTTACTTTCTATTTTTCAGTGTCAAAACGTGAATATGACAAGAGTGAATGTCTCCGCTGCATGCGATAGTCCAAACACTGATGGCATCCATGTGCAACAACCATCAAATGTGACCATCATCAACTCAAGCATTAGCAACGGTGACGACTGCATCTCAATCGGTCCAGGGACCTCCAACTTGTGGATGGAAAGTATTACATGTGGACCTGGACATAGAATCAGGTAGGTAGAGAAAGATTATGACGAACATGTTTAGAAATGTTCTTTCAGAGGATTTAAATAAATTTATCACATTAAATTTTAAAAGATAAAGGTAAACGTTAAATGAAATTAAAATGATTAAAAATATATTCTAAAGTGATTTTGAAAAAATAATTTAAATTATTTTAAAATTATTTTGGATTAAAAAAAGTTACAAAATATATTACGTTGTAGTGAAAAAACTAAACCTCATGAAAAATTTAGTATTTTATTGAATGTATTTGTAGCATTGGGAGGTTGGGGATGCAGGCTGAGGAGGATGGAGTGCATAACGTTGCAGTGAAATCATCTACTTTCACGGAGACTCAAAATGGAGTAAGGATTAAGTCTTCGGGACGACCAAGCAATACATTATTATGAATAATGTGAAAACCCAATTATAATTTATCAAAATTTCACAGTTATTTATCAGTATTCATAACATATTTTGATTGTTCTTCTTCATTTTAATAGGTTTCCGGAGTTAAAGTCAGAGAAGTAGCATACGAAGACATCAAGGGAACTTCAGCCACTGAAATAGCAATCAATTTTGATTGTAGTCCAACAAATCATTGCACTGGATTAAGCTTGAAAGACATAAATCTAACTTACAAGAATCACACCGCTAAAGTCTCATGTAAAAATGTCGAAGGAACTACCTCTGGTGTGGTTGAACCTTCTGGCTGCTTAGCATAGGCAAATCTAATTTTGGCTTAACCACTCGATACTAAGATTGAAGGATAATAAGGGCTTATAAATAAGGTACTAATTCTACCATAAAAATCAAACAACTTTGACAAAATTTGAAACCCAATAATTTTTTTTAAGGTATGGTATTTAGTGATTTAAAACAATTGCTGGTAAGGACATCCTTACCAATCTTAATAAATCTTAAATACAGTTTATCCAAATAAGTAAATCGGAGGGTAAAATTGTCATCTATCAATATTTATCCATGCAAATAACTTCCATAGGAGGACGGTCCAAAAGCTACCACGAGTCGATATATGGATCTCACATTATGAACCAACGATCAAGAGTATATGATATATTGTCATGTTTCCTTCTCACTAGGCTAAACTAGGCTAAAATCTTTCTCACTAGCTTATTTATCTGCATTCTCGACCATAATGTCGAGAAATATTTTTTTCGCATGTGTGCAAAAAAAAAAAAACGCTCTTATATAGCAACTTTTCGAAACTGCCCTAGAATGAAAGTGAAAACGTGCTAGAGTCGCGAAATCGATACCCAACCATCGAATTGGGGCATTCCCCACCACAATGTCAAGAAATATTTTTTTTGCATGCTTGCAAAAAAATGCTCCCGTGGAGTAGTTTTTTGAAACTGCCCTAGAATGCAAGCAAAACTGGCGCCGGTGTTGCAAATTCGATACACAACCATTGAATTAGGGCATTCCCCACCACAATGCCAAAAATAATTCTTTGCTAATGCTTTCAAAAAAAAAAAAAAAAAAAAAAA